TCGTCTTGAATGTTGCATTGGACACATTATCATTGGCACATTTCAACTCGCCATGATACGTGAGATCATTGGCCAATTTGGTTATGGTTTTATTCATTCGATATTGATGTGTTAGGGCCACGGTTGCCTGTGGTGAGTCTAGCCGAGCGAATAAACTCTCGTCGGCACCTAGTTTTCTGCAATTCACAAAGGGCATATCAATTTGCATTTTGTCTAAAAAATCCTATTTGGTTGGCAATGAACATTTTGTTGTTTGTGATAACAACTTACCTCCCTATTTGTGACCGTACGATCGGCGGCAATTGATCAGGATCACCAACTAGAATGATTTTTTTGGCAGAGAATAATGGACGCAACACTGTGCTTTGGAACACTTGCGTCGATTCGTCCACTAAACAAACGTCGAACACGCGTTGCGTTAATAACGGATGCCCCGATCCCAAGCATGTGACACCAACCACACTCTGGAATTCGTAAATAACATTTTTGAAACTGTTCACACACACACAAATATATACTAGAAATTGAAGTTGAGTGATTTTTTTTCTCAATTCGTACCCAAAGTTTTTTTCCCTAATCGCAATGAAACTTTGGGTGCAAATTGAAAAAAAAAATCACTTAACCGCATTTTTTGGTATATAAATATTTGTTTGTGTGTTTCAATATCTCATTTTCACTTACAAATTGATTATAAACCTCGGCTAGTTCGTCTGGCGTTTTACAATTCGATGTATAAAATTCCTCACTGCATTCCCTCAACTCTGAATGTATACGCTTTGCAGAACCCAATCGCATGAATTTTATTTGATTGTCACATTTTCGCAGTCGCATCAAAACATTGTCAACGGCCGAATGTGTGTGACTCGTAATCAGTACGGATTTCTCCATGAGAACTAGTAATCGAATGAGGGCGGCTAGAGTCTGCGTTTTTCCCGTTCCCGGCAAACCTTTTAACAATAAATACTCATTTGCAGTGAGTGCCTTCAGCACAGCCGATCTTTGGTTTGCATTCAATGTCATTAGAATGGATTTCCCTTTGGTAGTTATCACTTTTGGTAATGTCTTCGTAAACGTTGGCTGCACACGATCGATGACAATTCTGCGCAGCAAAAAAAGTTCGAATCGATAATACAAATGTTGGTTAAAGAATAAAATTTGAAGTTTTCAATAGTGGCATACTTTCTCAGTCGTTCGGCAGCTTCTGTTGTATCAAGTAAGGCACCCAAATTGGACATATTGAATGTGGCATTGGTTTGTGATTCATATTTATCAATGATGAACTTTTCATTCCGGTATCGATCACACAAATTTCTGAAAAGTGATTGTAGAATTCAATCGTAGTTCAGCGCTTAGAATGTTCTCAAGTGGAGTTAGTTTTAAGAAGAAGAAGAAGAAGAATTTTTTCAGAGGGAATTGAAAAACGAAATGCAATTTCAGAGCAAAAGAATATCACGCACAAGTGAGTACTACCTAAGTGAAAAAATTGTTTTGAAAAATGCGATAAAAACCTGTCTAAAATGAGTGTGATGACATTTTCCGTGATCGCTATAACGGGTCCAGCGGCGACTGAATACCGTTTCGGTGTGCTGACAATTAAATAGTTGCCCAGACTGAAGCCGAATGACGTTAAATCGACAATCTTTGTGCTGAACTCATGAATGTATTCGCCCTCCTTATCGCTTTGAACATCTGGATTCAATATGAGATCGCATACAGCCCGGCCACACTTCTGACGATGTTCGGGTGTTTCAAGCCATAGCACCTTATTTGGATTCACTGGTAAAGAGCGCAATTAGTCGATTTCACCCAATGAGAAAATTTTGTGAATTGTGTCTTACATTTTTTATTCTCTTGATCTTCCAACACCATCAGGCCGATCCAATGGCAGAAATAATTGATATGTGCATCGTTCAAGTGTGCAGTAACTAATGGCGCTAATTCACGCATTGGATGCTTTGCATCGAGCGATGAAAGTGTTTTGCTATCTTGATTAAGGTAAACTGAACATAAAATATTGTACGGACAAGTTGGACACACGTTGCCTCGATTGATTGGCTCGGGAAGTTCGGGAATGTATGACACTCGCATCAGTTCAGTGAGCAAATCATCGTTACTTGTGCCATTTTCTTCGTCGAATAATGATTTTTGACCGATATTTGCATACGCTTCAAATTGTTTAGCTAAATAATATGAAATTTCATTGCGAAGAAGTATTAAATCCCGTCGTTCGTTGTGTGTTCCTTTCACTTCACGCATTACACCTTCTCGTAAGTACAGAAGAAGGCCCGATTCGACGGTTGATTGCTCGATTTCGCTCATCATCATTTGATAAATGATCAATTGGCCAGAGTGCTCAGCGGAAAATGAGGCGCGACCCGTTTTCAATTCGAGAGGCATGTACAATGATTTCTTCTTTGATGCTCCATTCCTCGGACGACACTTCACATTCACCGACACATCGACTTTGCCTTTAAGCCCGAGTCGAGGCACCCATATATTCTCTTCAATGTCCTGAATACTTTCAATTGTTCCGTCAAAATTTTCAATCTGAAATTTGAGTTCCTTTTTTCAGTTTGATTAAACTAATAATTTTTTGTATTTTTTATTCACCGTTTTGTTTGAAGTCGTTGGTGCTTTTCCCTCCACGTATTGCTGCATAAACTCGTAGATTCTCTCCAAAAATCCATCAAATTCAGTACGTGCCTCGGCCGATTTCATGCTGCTTGCATACAAAGTATACGCCATTCCGTCGTCGGATAGCATTTCATCGCTGACCGCTTTGATTTGTTCACGCGTTGTAAGCCGTCGACGCAGCACAATTTGGAATAATTCATGTACTATGGAACCGACGGTCATCTAATTGGAAAACAAAGCGTTGTGTTACAATTCCAATTCGAAAGAAATACAGCAAATACTTACAATTTTCATGCCAGCTTCGATGCCTTTGAATCGATCTTGTAGAACGGCTTTCCTCATGCAAAACAGCCCACTGACAACGGTTGTTCCGGACACCAAGAAATCGGGTCGAACCACCACAAATCCATTTGTATTTGTGACGCAATACGATTTGATTTTTGTGTTCCAAACGGCTACTATTGAGACAATGTCGCCAGCTTCGATTCGACACTGTGTCCAATAGTGTTGCAAGCGACAAATCATCCGTTTGCCACAGTCAGTCTTCTGTTTATCACACTTGCCAGCGTCTTCATAGCCCGCGACAACCAAATCGTGTCCATCACGGCGACATTCATCGATGATACATCGTTTCCAAATGCTTAGATCCAACAGTTTATCGCGTTGATCACTCGCATCACAACTGTCAAAATCAATTCCATCCAGCAGATTTGTGACGAAATTGGTGCTTGCAGTCGTCAATTGCTCATCATTGGTTCCTTCACTCGATGTAAATTCATCATCAAAATCCACAAAATCAATGTCATTCAACAATTCCGCGCAGCTATTCGACAATTTGATTTGTTTTGGATTGGAATACATTTGAACGGATGAATCACCGACGGTGCACTTTCGTTTGTTCATTGCGACTTTCCCAAATGACCGGCAACACAATTGACAATCATCACTTGAGATGATTCCGTACGAATTTTTCGACGTTGATTTAATCGTGAGAAAAAAACTGATGAAAATTCGCGCGCCAAAAACATCGTCGTTTTCTTTGTCTTGAATTATGTGTGTGTGTGTGTGTGTGTGTGTGTCATTGGCGTCGATGGATGCGTTCAATGCGATTTGTTTATATTTCATACACATTCATTCCGTTGCAGTTGAAACTTAATCGGTAAACGAATCGAAGCGAACTCATTTGTGATTTTTAGGGGAAAAGATGGAACAATTTTAATGACACCAAAAATATTACAATCGCACAATTTCTGCGTAAAATAATTTTGTCGCAAAAAGAAACAAAGTAACTGAAGAATATGTCGGAGCATGCGACGAGTGCCATATGTCAGTGTGCGCAAAAGATATAGAAAATCAAAACAATGAATCTCACCACAAACACACACACAAACATGAACAACGAAGCCAACACACATTAATACACAAAGCGAGAGCCAAAAAAAAAACAGAACAGACAACACACAGTAGCAATCAATACAGTGGTAAATTGGAAACGTCGTCGTCGTCGTCGGTGTCGTCGTACAAAACGTACGGCCATAAACAGATACATGCGCCGAAAAGACCAACTTCGAAAAGTGCATCTTTGTTGTTGATTTTATTTCGCTGTCTTGCCCTCACTCGTTCGGTTGGTCAGGCATACGTTCGGTCGTCTTTGCTCAAAAAGCACATCTATATAAATCCATATATACATGTAATTCTTATTATAATTTTTCTTCTTTTGCTGTTCACTTATATATAAATGTACATAAATAATTTTTTATTGTGTGACATACAAAAATAAAAAGTATTCTTTGGCACATATTGTGTACGGGTGGGTTGTAATGCGAAGTGAGTTTCGCATTGTTTGTCTGCACTAACGCAGCAGCAGCAGAAGCAGCACCAGTAGAAATAATAATAACAAAAGGTTGTTTTTTTTCTTTCGCTCTACACAGTGGAAAAAAAGTAATTGGTGTCCAATTTTTGGTGTGTTTTATTTTGCGTTGGGTATGGGAAATCTGCAACAGCAACAACAACAACAACAACAACAAAAATCCAACATAGAAGTCAAAGAACAGAGAATTCAACTAAGAATTTGAAACGAACTTACCACATTAAAAAAGCAATATTCTAATTTATTGGTAATCGTTTGTTGTTTTTGGTTTTCCTTCCATCAATTCGATTCAGTGAAGACAGTGAGTGAGAGAGAATAAATAAGCAATTGTGTCGCTATCGGTCTAATAATTTTTCTATATGGCAAACATTGGCATTGCTTGCTTGGCTTTTATTTCTGCGTTAGTTTCTCGTTGTTAGTGAACAAGCGCTAAGAAAGCATTATTTTGCCACTTGGCTCTGTGTTTAAGTGTTTTTGCTCATTGTGTTTGAAGGTTGACGGCGAAAAACCACGACCACACCATCAATTTGGCCACAATTTTTGTGCAATAACATTGGAATCCATTGAATAAATAATAACGAAAAATAAGTGAGTGAGAGAAAAAGAAGGCAAGGAATAAAGAAAGAAACAGAAAATAAAACACGGCAAGAGGGACAGACACGAAAATAAAAATCAAGTCAGAGCTATTTAAAGTGTTTAACACGAAAAATTGAAAGACTGGTTTGATTTTGAAAAAAAAAAAGAAGAAGAAGAAGAAAGACGATAAAAAATAAAAAGATTCCCGTTCAATGGCTTGACTTTGGGTGCTTGAGCCAACAATAAACGATTTTGAAGGAGGAAGCAGCAATTTGCACGTAAGTTTTTTGGGCTCTTTTTTTCCTTTCTGTCATGTGTGTGAACACACAATTTGCGTAATAAGAGATGTGTGATTTTGATTTATCGTTTGTGCCACAGAAATTCGAATGTATGCTGAAGTCGGCTCGTAGTTTGAATGCTCAATAGGAATGCTTCTCTGTTTCTTCTGTTTGTATTGAATAAATGTCTTGGTAGATCCCGCATGATGCACTGCATTGTATAACATTTGACAGCCACATCATAATAAAATGGAAGGAAATCAACGCACAAATCTACTTATGCTCAGAGAAAGCGAGATATGGAACAATTCTTGAAGCGAATATGCGTCATAATCATAAAGCGACATTTATTCCATTTTCTTTGTGTCTATTGTTGATGTAATGCGCCTTTGGATTTTATCCAACAAATTGGATGCACCTTCCAGTGAATGATGCTCGTATGCTGCATCATGCTGTTCCAATGTTCATCCTTACAATAGCCAAAACACCGAACCGCGATCTCACGAAATCAAGCGAGAAGAAGAGAAGAAAAAAAATTGCCTCATCACATAAGAATCAATGGCATTGCAAGTTGATTTTTTTTTTCATTTGCTTCTTCTGACGTATCGTTTTTTTTTTCTTCATTCTGTATTTTATTTGGTTTTTACTTGAAAATCATTCGAATGCATATGTTAAGTCACTCACATGCAGTGCAGTTATACACGCGTGATGTAAATTGTAGTGCCCATGCATCGAAAATTATACAATATTGAAACGAAACTGAACACAGAAAAAAACGATGAATTGAGTAAAAAAAAAATGAAATAAACAGAGGAAAATACAAAAATGAAAAGACAAAAAACGCACGCAGTAATACGCTCAGAGAGAGAGAGAGAGAGAAAGAGAGAGAGAGAACAAACTAGTAGAGTAGTGTCGGACACTAACCGAAGTTTAAAACAAACGAAAATATCGAGCGTGAACAGGAGAGATAGAGAACGAGAGAGTGTCAAGATCGCATATATGCGTGAATGGCAATGAAGACAGTTCGCTCTAAACAGTGATTTCTTTTTTGTAAATCGGTTTTCGTTCAATTGTTTTATTGAACGCATTAAGAATGTGACCGCTGATAATGCGACCTTTGACAAAATGAAAACAACAATAACGAAAGAAATATAAATAAAACGAATTGAAAGCCTCATTTTATTCGCGCTTATTTGATATGTGTGTGCGCGGTCATTTTTGTGCAGTCATATCATCGTCTTTTGAGGTGTTATCGTCAAAGGACACTGAATAAGCAGAGAGCAAAACAGAAAAAAAAAAATACCAAATCGTTTCGAAAACGTCAATTCGAACCGAAAAAAAGCGCACCGAATGGATGAAACACAAAACCACCAAACATGTTGTGATCTCAATACAAGTCCAATCAATACAGCAACAGCCAATCCCATGCAAACAGACGTCGATCTGGTTCCATACTAGCTCGCCGCGCGGCTATTTTGACGAAAGAAAAGAAAAAACCACGCTCTGTTATTCGGCTCAAACAGACGGTTGGGTTGTGTTTTCGGTGCACATATTACACATCTGAATGTTCTGAATCGAGAAAGAGAGAGAGAGTGAGAGAAGACGGTGACAGACAGTAAAAATGTACGATGCCGTGCGCATACGCTAACATGTGTGTTGTATATGCGACTTAAACAAATGTATTCGCGCACCCAGATCTCAATTCTCGATTATGCGGTGTTTGCGTGTATATGGCCATCTCGTTCTCTCATGTCACTGCTTGATTCTTTTTAGTTTTTTTTTTCTGTCGTTCTCTGCTGTGTGCTTTCCATTCACGGAGCTAATTCATAGTCCATTCACAGCACAAGCGAGCTCAAAATGGTTTGTGATATTTTTTTTGATCTTCTGTGTATGTTGTGTTCACGGTATTTTTTTTCTTAGCTTATAATTTTATTTCGTTATTCTGGTGTGTAATTATTGGCCCAAGTTGAAAATGCGTCAAGAAAGAAATAGAAAAAAACGGTTCGCGCAGATAAAGCAAAAAAAAAAAACGACATAAAGCTAAATATGAGAGTGGCAACGACCATAACATCATGTGTTTGTGTGTTGTTTTTGATATAGCATGTGACGCACGATCAAGTGCCATGATTTTGGTTGACAGAATCAGAATAAGTAATCTATAGAACATCAAGTAGAGTCGGTAGCATTTATTCGATTCAATGTTTTTCTGCGTAGTTTTTGCTCAGATCTCTCGTTGCTTCTCGACCGGGTTGAACATTTTTCGGTTATTGCGTTCAAAATTGAAAAAGGGTCTGTGATTCCGATTCGATGTCGCCAATATTAAATTGATGTGAAAGATAGCGGTAACCAGATCAAGACAGAGAGATATAAGAGACAGTATGAGTGAGCAAAAAGAAGCGAAAGAGTGGTGATTACTACGAATGCTCCAACGACCACAGAAAGAAAAAATCTCGACAAAATTTCTATTTGATGTGTTTGATTGGTGCCATCTGAATACCGTACATAAAAACAACGAATTTTTTCCCTCTTCGTTGAAATTCTCGCTAAGTGCTTGAGAATCAAGTCTTCAGTGTGACAGCCAATACAACGACCTGTCTTTGACGATATGGAAATCTCTCGAATGATTTTTATTTCGGTTTTTTCATAAGTATAAAGCAATTAAAATTATAACAACAGCAATTTTTTCTTCTGTGAACTCTCATAGTTCATGTTTGGCCGGCTCCGTAATTGCATACATGCTTTCGTTTTTTTTTTTTCATTCTTTGAATGATTTGGCTTTTGTGTGTGTGTTTAGATGTTTGGATAGTGGTTTGTCGTTATGCTAAAGTAATAATTGACTTGGTATTAAAGGACATGGTATTTATTATTCAATTTTGATTGGTATCAACGGTTATGGATTGTGCTCGGCATTTGTTCGAGCCACACGATGGACGAACAAAGAAAAGCACAGCAACAACACAATGGTAGTAACAAACACTAAAGCCAACTTCGCTTTCAAGTAATGAGCAGCAACAGTGTGTGCCGAAAATAAAAACCAGATCCAACCAAAACAACACACTGGCGTTAACACTGTTCAGCGTTTGGTTCTGTCCCAGAAAAAATATCTAGATAAAAACGAGATAATCTCAAAAATGTCCAAATCTATCTAGATATCTTTTTTAAATTTATCTTCTTTTTTTATCTTTTTTCCGAAAAAGATAGATATCTTTGAGCTATCTTAAGATAATCTTTTCAGAAATATATCATTCTTTATTCATATGTCAATTTGATGAATTTGTTTCAATTTTTTTTTTGTTCTGTGAAAAATGCACGAAATTTGGCCTTTAATTTAAAAACTTTAATTTTTGAAAAATATCCCAATCAACAAAAAAATTTCAGTTGGAAGATTTACGTGATTTACACTGATTTTGGAGTATATTTTCTTCTATAAATGGGATGTGTATATTTTTTCAACAAGTAGGACAAATCTGTAGTGTGAATCATCATTTGGTATCGATCAAATCTCTGATACAATTACTTGATGAATATCTTAATTTTTATCTAAAAAACGACAGATAGATAGTCGAAAAAAATCTGAACAGAAAATTATCTAGATAAGATAATAGATACTATCTATCTTATCTTATCTTATCTTAATATCTTATCTAAGATAGATATCTTAACCAAACGCATTGTTTACTTAACAGTACCATCGTCAGTGATGACGAAAGACGAGAAACGACAACAACGACGACGACAGAAAAACTGAAAAACTGGATTCGACTGTTGTTTAACGGGTCTACTAGAACTCTTTCGGAAGAGAAACCAAAATCCGGAAAGTTTAAAATCGATATCAAATGTAGCAATCAAACACATGATTCGATGGGAAATGAACGATGTTTTACGATATCAATCTCGTCTTCATCTTCTTCCTCCTCCCAAGTTCCGTAAATCAAAGTGTACGTATTTTACTCCGGGTTTGGTGACGCTTCAGGGATAAGAAAATTGATTACGTCTATTATTCCGGTTGTTCAAGTTGCCTCGTAACGGGTCTTGTACTAACCAAGTCAAAGCTGAATTTAATTGAAACAAAAATATCGAAGCCAACAGCTGAATTTGATCAAAACCAAGAGATGAAATGGAAGAACTTGAATTGAAATAAATAAAAATGCTCATTCTAGTAGTTGCATGACAAAATAAAACAATGAATGGATGATGGCAACAATTTTTATTTGACCCAAACAAAAGAGAAAAACAAATTCTCATACGCACAGAACTTGCAACAATTTCTGCATGGGTGAATGCGAAAAATACACGCAACTACATAGCAAAGCATCTATCAATTGTTTGATTTCGATGAAAAATTTGTTCGAAGCATTCCATTTCGATTCTCTTTACGTAGCGCGACAATCGAATGTTCATTGTTGATACCGCTGTTTGAGAATCAAATGCGACATAAATCTCTATCTCGCTTTCGACGATGAAACACCAGATTATTTTGTGTGTGTTATTTTTCAAGTAAATTACGTTGACTTTGAAGTGTGAAAATGTAACGCAATCTCTTGCCAACTGCAACAATCGGTAATCGTTGTTTGGATTATGCGAGCGAGTGTTCACGCGTACATTTTGGCCATCGTTTATACACGATTTTTGCTCAATCCACAAATGGCTGCTTTGTATTGCTTTCGTGTCGAATGCCGATGCATGGTAATCGGCAAACGGTGCTAAAAAGTCTAAATGGAATATATATGCACTGGCACATGTGTACTTGCCCGTATCACGTACAGAATATGGCTGATTTGTGGGCTCTTTTTTCATTCGATAGTTGTTTCTTTTTTTTTCTTTTTAGTTGCTGTTGCTGTTGCTGTTTTTAATTCAATAGTTGCGATTTCGTTTTTATTGCAGTTTTCATACTCTTTTGCACGGTAATTATGATCATTGTCCTCTGCTGTTGGACTGATTGCTTGTCTTCAAACACACAACTCACCGCATTTATATAATTGAATTGGAAAATACAAATGCAAGAAGCGAAACATTGAAGACGCCCAAATCGACGTAAAATAACAACAATATAAGACACAACACAATAACGAAAGACACAAAAAACAACAACTAGCGAAAAATAATCAAAGCAAATGGTATTAGTATTCAATAAATGATTTATAGCATGCAAGTGGCCCCAGCGGTCAAGCTGTATTTTGGATCGTTTTGGTTTCGGTCTATGTTGAGCTGTACGTAACATAGCATATAGTCGCGCATATTTTGAAAGTTCAGTGTGTCTGTTTTTAATGCTATGCATGTATGCGTCGTTTGACGTTCGGTAAAACGTTCGAAACCAATTCAATTTCATGTAGGCGATGCTTTTTTTTTGCATTTTGACTAATGCATTTTTTTGGAGATCATTTCTGTTTCTCTTTTCCTTCGTGATATATTCCAGCTTCCGTTTGATATGTACGCGATATTCGAATGGGTAAAATATATGAAGAGTGAATCGAATTTCGAAAGTTTCGATCATACACGAAACTATGGAACAAAAGCAGATAATCACACGAAGAAATAAAAATAACACATGACAATGTTGTTTTCATGTACATATACTTGACAAATGTGCATTAGCAAAGCCATTGATAATTGTATTCGAAAATTCATTGGTTTGTAAATAGCACACCATACACGCAACGAGCGAAAGAGAGAGAGAGAGAGAGCAACAGTCACATTTCTTAAAATAATAATCACGTATGAGCAAAACAAAAATTATAGTATACATGAGCACGTTTTGTTGTGAGCTTGATAACACAAACTGGAATAAAAGTCGCGGCAGCCGCAGCTGCATCAGCATTTTAGAGACGTTTTTGTTCGAAACAAAGAGATGTAAAGAAACGAAAAGGTTAATTCGAATGTCATATTCTTAAAAATGAAATCATTGTTATGTTGATTGTTTAAATGAGTGAAGCAGTATTGGTCATCGATGTGAGCTCATACGGACCCAAAAGAAAAATATCCAGCCACAAAAATCCATGTGTCAAGACATGTGCTCCATTTACTCGATGTGATAAATGAAATGTCGTCTATTTTATGACTGATGAAACAAGCAAACAATGCGCCCCTCCACCCACCTCGAGGGAAAAAAAGTCTAATTAATAATCGATTATAATCACCCGGATCGGATTTTACCACACTGATGCAGTGGGAAGTGTGACATAAAAATGAAAATCGTTTCGATTATCTCTATGGTTGACCGTGGAAAAATGCACGCACGACCATTACATGCACACTATCAATATGTGAAAACTATTGGAACACACAGCAAAGACACGAAAAAAAAAAAACAGAAAAATAACCGAACGACCAAACGAACGGAATGATGAATTAACCCTTTGATGCACAATTTTTTGTTTTTGAATCATTTTGATATATGTTTTGTGCCACGATAAATGAAGAAAAACCTCATACTTAGATTTTTGAAAAATTGCTTATTTGTCGAGAAAATCGGAAAAGAGTCAAAAGTGTCAAATCACTATAAAAGCTTGAAAAAATTAAATTTCATAAAACTAATGATGCAGAAATTTAAATTGATGTGTTTTGGTCCTACGAGTCCTAGTTTGACAATTGAAAAGAATGTAAAAACCCACAAGATAAGAGGAGGAAAAATGTGGAATTCTGCTATAATTTCGCATTTTTTTTTACAGCAGTACATGAACAGAAAAAACTTTCCATTTAGCCAGCCGATTGTAGCCTGTAAAGTATAAAATGAAAGCTAGTTCATTTCCCTACATTTGTTTCCAAACAAGAATGTAAAAATATTCAGTGGTTTCATAGCTATAGCGTCTGGCGTATCTGGTTACTTTAGGAACCGAAATGTGATAAAGGGTTTAAAAAAAATGGCAGTAAAGAGTCATAAAACAAATGAAAAACTGGTTGTAATTTGTGAAACATGTCTATTTTTAAATCCGATTATCATTTGTCTATGCGCGCATGCAATTTACCGTACCATAACGACAACCCAGTTTGTTTGTCTTTTTTCTGCTCTCTCTCTCTCTCTCTCGCTCTCTGTTTACTATTTTCACTGTTAATGCAACCAAATAATCAGAAGTGAATTTTTTTGTTTCATTCTGTGTTTCGTCGTCGATGTTATTTTGCATTTACAGAATGATTGAAAAGGTCTCGGGCTATTATATTGGGCTCGTAATTGAAATGGGAATTTGCATATCACCTGAATTGACAGTATCAATGATTTTTATTTCCTTTCGTTTCGGTAAAATGTGAACTTTTGATTATCACCAATTTTTGTGCGCTGGAATGCTTTGTCATTGTTGTTTGAGTTCAAACGAAGCAAAAAATGATTAAAATTCCTAAAACGAATAAATCCAAAAACAGAACGCAACAGGAGAGCAGAAAAAAGGCACAAAGTGAAAATTGCCAAGGGAATTGAGTAATAACACTAAGATAAACAAGATATTATGATTTTATTGCCAAAAAGTCATTCTATCAACAACAACAACAGCAACAACGAGAGAGAGAGAGAGAGAGAGAGTGCGGAAAGAAGAGTGATAATGCTGAGCCACCGTGCAATTTGCAGATTACTTCACGCAAACATGCAAATTTTAAAGGAAAATAAACAACAGCGAATAAGCAAACGCAAGCGAGTGTGCGCGTGAGCGCGTCATCGTCCCAAAAATTTATAATGACAGTAATATAGATGGAGAAAGAGAACGTGCATAAACCACACACTTTTTGCGGATCTGATCAATTTCGCTTTATTTACAGTTAGGCAAACACACACCGAACGAAAGACATTGTTTATTTTTGTGCAAATAACATCGTTTCTCACCAAATGACAAATGTCTGGACGATCGTTTGACGCTGATTTCACATCAGTGTGCTTTTTCTTCCTTTCTAGTTCGTGGTCGGGATTTGTGTGCTTACACATACACTCTCTCTCTCTCTCTCTCTCTCTGTCATACTCTTTTCCTCTCTCGCTCTCGCCATCATTCACCAACTGGTGGCGGCATGCTGATTTATTATTGTTGTTGCTCTGTGTTATCTCACATTCGACTCACTCTGACTGTTTGCATTTTGATGAGGAATCCGTAAGCTGGTTTTATTTGCGTTGTTACTACTGCTGCTGCTAAAAGAGATTGAAATTCTCGCGTTCATTCGCGCTCGCGCTTCTATAAATTTATATTTAAATAAACAGCAATTGTTATTTTAAGCTACCGTATTTTGTGTTATATGAACCCCAAACAAATAATATTATACATCTCCTTGTTGTGTTAATGTTGTTGTTTCTTTTTATCTGTTTAATGGTTCCTTTACTCTTTTTCTCGTTTGCCCAGGAAATTGATTCGAAAGCGTGAGATGAACGAATGTAGCTGAAAATAGAACATCCAAGCAAGCACCATATCTGATATCAATCGTCAAACAACAGCGTATGGAATTCGGTGCGGTTCTGGTCAACATATTCAGTTGAACAGGAGAGTATTGCTGACGCTTTGCATTTCATTGGCGGGGGAAAATCCAATTTGATTCTTTGCTCTTCAAGCGTAAACAGTGAGCGAAATTGCGACGCGACAGATATTTAAAAGACGCGGCTCCTGTATGTTTTTGGAATATGTGGTATGTGGTATATGGGAACACGTGAGTAATCTGAATGCAGATGTACAAAACGGTGTCATGAAAACAATAACAAAGCCACGGACCAATTGAAAGCGACAGAATTCCATCGATGTGCATAAAATGTGAAAACAACAACAACGGCAACAGCAACAGTCTCAAGTTTCGCTGAAAACATTGAACCGCGAACGAACCAGAGACGAGAACGTTTGGTTTCATTTCACCAAGTGCATGTAAAACAAATTCAAGGCATCTATTCACATATATACATACACACACACACGGACACGTATCGTGTTCGCAACAACGGCAAACAACCAAAATTAAGACTAATTCGATCGACACAAAACCGAATATATCGTGCGAAACGAAGTAAACAGCTTACACAGAGCTCTCAGCTGATTGTCGGCGTGAAAGTGTGTGTTTGAAGCTAGAAGGGAGGACAGAGAGAATTAAACACACACATATACATCACACAGCGTCGGAGAAAAAGAGAGAGAGAGAGAGATTGGCAAAGAAGGTTGACAATCGCACACAACAAACAACAATCGCTGGCGAAAAAAAAAATCAGCACATTTTAACGATATATAGATAAATATATAATCAAACAATCGATGCGTGCATGTGAAAGCCGTCAACGATGCAAGCACGCCAATCTACTGATTCCAATTGAAACTCTCTCGCCAAACGAAAACACAGATCGCAAACGAGCGCGCGCACGTATACGCCACACCACACCGTACACACACACACACACACACACACACACACACACACACACACGACCAAATAACAAAACGCTCCGCGCAAAAGAAAAAAGGTTAAAACCGAAAAAAAAATTGTTTTCATTAAATTTTATCTGTCGAAGCGCGCGCAATTGATATAGTCGCCTTGTTATTATCGTACCCACTCGCCGAGAATTGAAAGTGACGGATAAACAGTGTTAGTGCTATTTTTAAGTAAATAACAATCGAGTTTCAAAAGGAAAAACAAATAGTACACAAACTCAAACAGACGGAATTAAGAAAATAATCAATTTAAAATGTAAAAGAAAAAAAAAAACAAAACAACAAATGAAATGATTGAAACATGTTTTGCTCCTTCAGTGCAATGAATGGCAATTAGAAAACTCCCGTGAGTCAAAGTGGAAAAACAGAAGCAGCAGGAGCTAAGAACGTTGTTGGCTAACAATCATATTTATACAAATGTGATTGAAGTAGTGATTTTGGCGGGTCATAGGAGTCCATGGTCATAGGCCGATCCATTAACCGTTATCGTGTTATCAGTGATAGAGCGATAGAAAACGATTGAGAGAGAAGAGAATTCAATATCAATTGATAGATGTGTTTTGTGCGCGCTAAAATTAAAGCTTCGGCCCCGATTAGATCGACATAAATGATTCTATCGCATTCGAAATAAGGGACACTGAAACGACGGTCCGGCTTACGTTTTATTTTCCCTTCTTCTATATTCGTTGTATTGCGAACGAATACGTTTATCGCGATTCTTATTGTTTGATAAATACTCCATACAAAATGACGACGATTTGTCGATAAAAGAAAACGAAAATCTAGGAATAACACGTGAAAGAATTTCCGTGACAAAATACACAAGAGAAAAATAGAGAAAAAAAACTCAACAGAAAACATAACAAAACTCAATTGAAGGAAGAAAAAAAGCGGTGTGAAAATTATTAATTTTGGTGATTGTTCCGTGACACATCCACTGCGCGATTCAGTCGCTCTCTTTTTTATTGTTCGTAATAGTTTAGCATATATAAATAAAAGCGGAAAATACGCATAGTGTTAGTGAAGAGAGAAAAGGAGAAAGAGAAGTTGAAAAACACACACACGCACGTAATTAATTAAGAAAATGCATCATAACAACGATATGATTAGTGGTAAAATATCATCCGATATTGAGAATATGGAGTGGAACATGGGGACGACAGCACAATTGCCAAATGTTAGGTATGTATCCAATTATGAAATATAAATAGTGCCGATAAGTTTCTGCTTAAGATAAAAATTGCATCGTGGCATGTTTTCTTTTTGTTATCGTGGCGAGATATTCTTGCTGCATAGTTGATGAATATCTTCAAATTCTAGTCTTGATTGTCGGCATATCAAAAATTCTAGTTTTGTTGTTGTCGGGGAATTTTGGAACATCTCATCAACAATTTATGCAAATTGACAACGCAAAACAGTCTTCGAAGAATTTCGCACATTTGCAATTCCATTCGCATACCTTGTGCACATTCCGATTGATAGGCGTGCATTTCAATTGGCACACATAAACAATCGAGCGATTTGTAATTATCTCTGTATTGGCAATATGTGTAAAAATTGCTTGTGAATTATTGAATGGAAAATTATTATTTTGCTCGAGTCGCGATCATCAATTTGAAATAAATCGGTTTTCAGCTGCTGCTGCTGCTGCTGCTGCTGCTGCTGCTGCTGCTATTGTTTTCTCTCTCACACACACTTTATCACTTGGCATTCAGAAACATTCACATTTTGAATTTTCTGATATTTTTTTGGGCATGTTATCCATGTCGCGTACATCCGGACGATTAAGCAACAAAACTCTCTCCGCTGTCACATACACACACACACACACACACAATTCACAATGGCCGATAGTAGCGAGCGTGCGATCGAATCGAGTGTATGTGTGCTTGTGACAAACGAACAGCAAGCGAAGAGATAAAAAGTCACACACAAATGCCATTGCAGACCGAGAGAGACCACTGGAAATGGAAAAGGAATAAAGCACAAAAATCAATAATCAGCTGTATGTTTAAAAGCTTTCTTTTTGATTGTTTGTCTATTTTGGCGTTGAGCCCATATAGGAATGTGTGTTTGTATCACATAGTTTATGTCGGGCGCGCGCGTTCGATATTTTTGTTCCTATATGCTTTTTAATCGACAATTTTTTTTCTCCTTTTTCATGTGTATTTGCGTTGCGTGTGCTCATGCACCATATATATATATATATATACACTACCGTGCAAAAGTTTGGAACCACTAGGTATTTTTCATACAAATTGACCATTTTTGGTGGACTCATTAACATATTTCGGAAACACCTGCACTCTTGATATTTTGTGCATAGTTTCTACAACGTTTCAATAGTAAATCACAGAGGTTTCATCAAAAAATATTCATGAATTTCAAAAATATAGCAATTTGAATTTGTACTGTGTGAAAAATGATCAAATTTGTATGAAGATTAAAACAGATCAAATTCAAATTGATATATTTTTTACACGGTAGTGTATATATATGTATATATATAAATTTTTGATATATCACTTAGCTGAATTTATTACATTGGATCGATTAAATGCCGATGATTATTCAATTTAATTGTATTTCCTTGAACATGTGGCGGCAACAGCAGCAGCGCATCAACGTCAAATTAAAATAGGGTAGGAAGAGAAAAAAAAAACTGCCACCAGAATGACATGTCGTGTGCCATGCAGCAGTGGCAACAATAGCAGCACACAATCACTATTTTCCATGATTCCCTTTTGCGATGTGACGCAACTCAGTGCGACAGCTCTGAACAAGCGTGAACAAATCAAATCGCATGGAATTCCGCGTCATTGTCGTTGTCGTCGTCGGGTTTCCTTCTTGAATATTCATATTAGCGTTGAAGAAATATTAATTGTGTGGAAGAGTGAGCCAGAATGAGACAGACACAGACTTGAAACCAACATTTGAAACGAATGCGATCATTCTGAAACGAAAATAAATATATATTTATAATACAGCTATTGACATTCATAGAAGTGCGAGCAAAAGCAAAGCAAACGCGAAACGTACTTGCAACTCGTTGTAGTTTACACTCGCAAAATAATAATAACAAATACAAAACATTTTCTATTTTCTGCTTCGATGAATGACGTTTCTGTGCTATGGACAATCAAACATTTCAACCTTCGATGGAAAACGAGTCGCACGAGCGAGCGAGCGCGCGCACTTTAATTGTAAAATAGAGACTTCTTCGGGTCATCATTGAGTGTGCGTGTATGTTTGTTGTTCACAAGTCCGTAATTTTAAAGATGAAGAAAAATACAATCAGAGAGACGTCAAGCACTTTCGAAAACACGGCAACTACAATAAAGCCAAAGTCATCGTGTATTTATACCGTGAGGAGAGAAGATGTTTACGTGCTTCGGAGATAGAGAGAGAGAGAGAGGGATCTGGATTTCAAAAGACCAGGTCCATTTTTGCTATTTTTAACGTAATTGCGTATTAATTCCGATGAAAATTGCTTCTCGTTTGGCTCATTGCATTCCAATGCCAACCGATAGACCGACGCACAGCACCTACATTAGCAATTCGAAGACCAAAACCGCGCACAATAGAATTTCCGATTATTAATACAGCTGCGCTTCTTATTTGCTTCTCTTATATAAAACCGTTTCCGTTCCATTCTTAAAGCTAAAAGTGAATATTCTCGTCTTTCAATTCATTTTTTTTTCTCGGGAATTGATCTCTTTCGACTTTTTCCACTCTCCTCTTCAATTTCCAAATAGCGAACAGTAAATTGTTGTGTACAATGCTTGTGTGTGTGTGTGTGTGTACTGCCGATCACCAAGTCAATAGCTTTTGTGTTTCGATGCTTTCAAATATTTCTCTTTCCTCTGTGAACTCAAATATGATAATGCAAAGATTTGCTTATTTGTGCTCATTAAAGGTTAATATATTTTTCTTTCGATGTGCACATCCATTTCAGTCCGCGCGACCAAAACACAGGCACACGTTTTGCGAAATTTATTGATGGAGAAGCAAACAAATGGTACTCTAGCAGACAAGAAAAAAATGATGAATGTATTTATGTCAGATGAATAAGTGTCACAGCCCAAACAATGTAAAATGTGTGTCTGCACTGAGCTTTCTGTTCAGAGCGAAAGCATGCAAAAAAAACAACAACCGCCTTTCGACACATTCGAAACGACGAAAGACAATGTGATAGAATGGCAAACGAATGACGACGATAATAAGAAAAAGCCTCATATTGCTCAATGAATGATTGATTTTGTTGACAAATTCGTGTATTTGCTTATTTTATAACTCGATGATGTATGCACGTGCTTTCTAATGGAGAGACTCGAGTCGCTAGAATAGATTCATTCTTCTTTAGGAATGAGCAAAATGCTTTAGAATTACACATCTTTATGAAGCCAATATTGCCATTTGGTCATTCCTGATATTTAAAATGTTCAGATATAGTTGTTGTTGCTTCGGTTCTCTTGCCGTTTAACCATTTTTGTCTTCGTTTCGAACAATATGAAGAATCTGATTGCAATTTGACAAATGAATAAGTGCTTGCAAACGTTTATGGCTTTTCGACTGAGAAATAAGTTTACACTACAGCGAACTATTCAAGGCAATTTCCATTTTATATCGATACCATTTTAATTGCTATCAAAATTATATGCTGCGGTTGGTGACCGCAGCGTATGCCAACATTTACGTACGATTCGAAATTCTATCGTTGAATTATACATTTGGCCACGGTTTTGTGTGTGAATATTATCTATTTTTGAATCGAGATGGAGAGGGGCAGAATGAAGAGAGAGAGAGAGAGAGGGAGACATACACACAACGATTAATTAACAGCCAGTTATTGAGAGCGCAATCTCAAAAAGTGCACATTTCATATGAGTACACAAAATTGAATATATCAATTCAAATCATTGTCGATTCAGCGGAAATGGAAACGCAGTGACGGCAATCGCAATCAGACATTTAATTAATGAACTCGGGTCGCTATGAATCAGTAATCAGCTCTCTTCCTCTCCATCTCTTGATACTCTTGATGCTTTTTTTCGGCAAATAATAAAAAAATTTGTTACAAAATACGAAAGAGTGTGGTATAATCGATTATGGAACATGTATAATTTGATATGCGAAATGCTTTTGATTTGTTTGGAAATTTAAAAAAATGTGAAATATCACCAACTTTGATCCGACGTTATGGATCAAGTGGTCGATGATTTCAAAAAAAAAGTGTTTTTTCCCATTTTTTGCTTTTGATTCCAATTTAAATTTATTTTGCTAATCCTCATCTGAAAAGCCCCAAATCAAACATGTAATTTTCACTAAATTATTTCTTCAAATTAACAGATTTGGGTCAAGTAGCAGCCAAGCGTCACAAAATAGCGGCGACATTTGTCGAATATGCCATTGCGAAAGTGATCCACAGAATCCATTGCTGACGCCATGCTATTGTTCCGGCAGCTTAAAATATGTCCATCAAACGTGTTTGCAGCAATGGTTGACAGCGTCCGAAACGAACTCGTGCGAATTGTGCAAATTCCCATTTATAATGCACACCAAAATAAAGCCATTCAATGAGGTAAGTTCGATTTAATGCGCAGATTAAACAAACAGCACAAATAGCAAATAAACAAATCAATATTTAGATTGAATTTATTTTAACGGTGATTTGTTTTCTCTCTCTCTCTCTTTCTATCTCTTTTTCTCGCGCACGCTGTTGCAATTCCAGTGGCGAAGTTTGGATATGTCGGGTGTGGAGCGTCGTCGTTTGTTTTGTGCAGTTTTGTTCCATTTTGCAGCGGCGCTATGTGTGATTTGGTCGTTGTGTGTGCTCATTGAACGTGCTGCCGAAGAAGTGAAACGTGGTCTCATCGGTTGGCCATTCTGGACAAAATTGGTAGTGGTGACCGTTGGTTTAACGGGCGGTGTGGTGTTCATGTACATTCAATGCCGACAGTATCTTCATTTATGTCATCGATGGCGTGCGAGGAATCGGTAATGTGAAAGATGAAAAACTCTTGCAATCGCTGGCTTCTGTTTCCTCCAATTTTATTTATCGTTAAATTTGTGTCATTTTTCTTTTCATCGTTTAGAATTTTGCTCATTCAAAATGCACCGGAGAAGATACATCCAATATCACCACCGTCACCCGTACTTGTCGTCCGACATCACAATCTTCCACAGTACAATCAAATGCCCGCAATGATGAATGCATCGAACGGTGCGTCCGGCTATAATCGTTCGATGGCGCAGAGTCAATGCGTGGCAAACATTGAAAATAATCCATTAAATTATGAACGTGATTGGCAATTGGATGATTCCAGTCAGTCATCGTTTAAACCATGTCCGCAGGGTTCTGGTTCGATGACACCATTACCATTTCACGATTCCGCTCACACAATGTATGAAGCTAATAGTCAGTTGCGTAGCGTGCATTCGTCAATGGATGGCTCCGGTTTAGATCTCAATCAAATTCCCAACTCAGCACAAGCGATGCCATTAACGGGTGGCACCTCCTCAAATACGATCGCATCCACTTCCAACAATCCATTGGGCCAACAACAGCAGCAGCAGCAGCACAAAAATGACTATGGCTTGTTTAAGGTTCACTCGAGCGGACAGCATCGCAACAGTAGCAGCAACCAACAGCATCATCACTATCCAACGTCGTCCGTATTTTTGGAGAACAGTGATATTCTAGATGATAAAGACTATCCGAAATTGTATCATCGGCATTCAGCCATTATGATGGCACCGGATACAATCAGTTGTGATAGCGATGCAAAAATTCGACGATACTCGGACACAAAACTATTGCATGCGGCCAATCATTTGGACGATGATGATAATGAAGAAAGTGATTTATATATGAATGACACGTATAACAATCATCCGATGCCAATTTTTAATGTGGCCACCGTTCTGGGAGCCTCAATTCCCACAACCACACACGATACACATCCGGAAAATTATCAAATCACCGATATCATTTTCGATTCAAATACAACGGGCGGCACCTATGATCCACTCGAGCTAAACATTCAAGAAATGCTTGAACTCGATGGCAGCCGAAATGTGCTACGCAAACCACGTTATTCCATGAACAATGTGGCCGATGGTGTTGATGAAAAATGTAACATTCACTATTCGGATGCTGGCAACGACAACTATAGCAGCAACGGTGGCGTCGGTGGCGTCAGCACCAATAACAGCACCGCATATGTCAACAATCCAGACAATCGTAACATGTTCAAATCGATGCCAAATCTCAGCGCCAGCAGCGAAAATCTATTGCAAAAATAAATCGACAACATGATACATTATTCGGATCGTTGGATTGTTTCGGCACACAAACACAATATGAAAAATGGTCAAGATTTGGTCGCCAACCAATTTTGTTTTGAAATTACACACAAAGAAGCTTTAAAGACATCTTGATCTATTTTTTTTTTTTTTTCATTGGTTTGGCCACAAACAAATCCCATTTTGAAGAAGAAAAAAAATCAATTTACTCCGTTTTCAAACTCAATATCAATCAATGTTTAATTGAAGAGCACGGATTGTGTATGTGTTTTTTTTTAGCCCGGAATCGATTTTGAAAACACTTCAAATCCCATTTGATTTGTTTTAGATGCTGCCACAACTGACCGACTTACCCCAAGCGCGACTCCACACTTAGCTTCTAAATGTGACACCGTAGTAAGTGTGGGCATACGTTTTGCGAATAAGCGACAAAGAGAATGGAAACAAGTGCGCGTGT